TTGGAAAAAAAAATCTAAATTGTCAAAATTAACAGAAATATGTGAAAACAAGTATCAATAAAGGCCAATAGCAGTCTTTATATTATATGTATGTCTGTCTGTATGTTTTTGATATTTAAACTGCACTTGCTGTGCTTTAATATCTGGTGTTTCTGAATTTGTGTTAATTTTCGTTAGCACATTCAGAAGTCATCTAGTATAATGATGAACCTTTTAAAATGTTCAAATTACCATATTTTAACCTCCTACAAGGTGTATATTATTGCTAAAAATATAGTATAAAGCAAGGCACGTATTTGATGTGAAACAAATGTAAAGCCCTGAATGACATAAGAAATGTAATATTAAAGTGTGGAGAGTAGAACAGATACAGGAAGACACATGAATTTGAATAAGTAACTTCGAGTAGATTGAGCTGAAGGAAGCACAGAAGATCGCCCTACTCTGTTAAAAAGTGCTCGCGCACAAAGCCAAGACCACACACTCCTACATTGGATGTTTTTTGTAACAGCCAGAGCTAAGGCATGGTTGCACATGCATGGTCTTGTCTTATTTGGGACAACTGCAAACCGTTTTCAGGTACTAGAATGAGAATTAAGCTCAAATTAAGAATTAAATGCCTAAACCTGTTCAGGCGCATTCACACCGAAGTTTACACCCAATTAATAAATCAAATTAAAAATTTATTTAATTAAAGTGGTTTAACTTCTATATATGATCCAGGTCTCTAAATATAAAATGTTGCTTCAGTAGTACAGGCTAACGCAGAGGAATTGTTGCAAGTTTGAGCTTAGTAGTTGACAAAATAAGATGAAAACCAGAAAATGCAGTTACAGTTTAGTGTTTAACTAAAAATAGTATTTGTGTAGGTGGACTTGAAACACTGGAAAAACAGGAGGGAATGTGGGCAGAGCATTGCTAGTTTAGGGAGTTCCGTTCCATCATTATAATGCTGAATTCCCAGCTATAGTTTGAAACTGATTTGAGGAAAGGGAACTTAAAGTGTTTGTGATGTTGTCTTTTATAACATGGTACACTTTAGAAATGCTAGCTTGGGAACAAGTTTAGGATTTTGTAGAGGTCATGAAAATCCCATTTCTGCCTTGGATTCCACTTCAGAAATATATCTTGTAGGGATGTTTTTTTATCACTTCTTTTTCAGCTTGAATATTTTAATTGAAGACTAAGATGCTGCAGTCAGATTTCTCTGCCAAAACAAATTATGGTTGATCAATCTCAAGCCTTGCAAGATTGATGGGTTTTGCAAGTTAACGAGCTATGAGCATTGAAATGCAAATGAACAAGATGTTAACTATAATATAGATTGACCTAACTGTGATGGCGGCTGATATGTCTTCTATTGTAGAGATACTGTGAGAACCAGGCTTGATTTATCTGTCCTTATCTGAGAAACCTGTCCATTTGGGTGTAGAGACAGAATCTACCTCTGGTCCTCGATGGGTTGGTATAGGAGCAGAACTTGCATGTTCACATATAAATCGTATTTAGTTTTTGGATAGCAGCAAGCTAGCTATAATATACTCATTATTAAGAGTTGAATGTAAATGCGAAATGGATGTGATACAGGGCTCTTAAAGATATCCTGGAGAACAGTGGAATGTCATACTGTAAAAAACCATGGTACTATTGAATACTGCTTTGCAAATGTTTACACTTTGTCCAGCTTTTATCTTGTAATACTGCGTTACACTTTTTACGGTTATTCAGGCTTCATGTCTTTGCCCTAGCTTGGAGTTCTTACGCAGTTAGTTGTTCTGCTTATCAAAGATATTTAATCAATTACATGTTGTACCATTCTTTGCATCAAGAAACAGAGTAAAACTCATTAAGTAGTATTTGAGCAGCTTGTTGGTTTAGATTGTAGTTTTTATCAGTTATTTTAAACTTCTTGTGTTTGTGCTGAGTCTGCACTCTAGGGGAAGGGGACAACATGGAATTGATTATGCTAGTAAACAACAAAAGACATTATTTCATTCTTTCAGTCAGTACCAATCCACAGTCTTTATTAGAATGAAATACCATAAATACCTTTTCTAATCTGAATACTTTTTCATTTTACTAGGGTAATTATTATAGTGTAGTTTGCTCAGAAAGGTAGCTTCTGTGTCTAGGCACGTAAATAAAGATGGATTAATTCTGACACTTTGCAGGTATCAAGAAGATGGGGGAGAGGGAAGCAGCATCATTCTCATTGAGGTATCTACAGTAGAAAAGCAGGTTTACTCATGCAGATTTTAAAGGCTAGGTATGTGTATATGCATTTGCAGTCTGCTGAAGTTTATCTTAGACTCCTTTAAGGGAAAAGTTCCTATATAGAAAGTGAGGCACAAATATCTTGAATTTCCTTTAATTTCTGCAAAGCTTCAAAAATACTTATAATGAATGAGTGGGGGGCATCAGAGGTGATGGAAGTCTGATATTTTGTTACTGTAATCTGCTCTAGGCCTTACTTCAAACTCATGATGTAGTGGCACATGAAGTTTACAGTGATGAAGCGCTGAGAGTTACACCTCCTCCCACCTCTCCATACTTAAACGGAGATTCTCCAGAAAGCGCCAACGGCGACATGGATATGGAGAATGTAACACGAGTTCGACTGGTGCAGTTCCAGAAGAACACAGATGAACCAATGGTATGGAAGGAACCTCAGTATTTTTCTTGACTCTTTACTGATAAAGACCAGTATTATAATGCTTTTAATGAGAGTTTCCGCACTTTGAAGTGGGGTTGCTGGTATAATTGGAG